TTGCACAAGAATAAGAATCAATTACATCAAGTTTCAAAAAGTGTTGTTTCAATAAATTCAGAATTGTATTGCTCACCAATGTAAATTGCTATCACCCCTTTAACTTAAGTGGAACAAACCACCTACTAACATTGGCACATTGAGAGAGAGAGAGAGAGAGAGAGAGAGAGAGAGAGAGAGAGAGAGAGAGGGGGAGAGGGAGAGGTAATTTACACAATTCATTTACGGCTTGTTTCATATGGCCGTTATTCATAATCAATCAAACTAATTACACTTCAGCACAAAGGTCGTGTCTCATTTAGAATACAAATTAAGCTTTAAAAGTGAACATGTGTACACACTGCAAGATAACCTTTTCACATTACTACCCTGTGAAACAGTGACCCAAATAAAAAAAAAAATGTACCCTCTGGTGACTAAAGTGCACTTTCACAATATTAGAGTTTTAAGAACTACTGTAGTTGTTAGAAGTAAATCTACATACAGTACGGATGCAACAATACAGGTTTATGAAAAAGTAGTAACGAACCGTCAAGCATGTGCATGCTACATCAAAGAATAGGTTTTGCATTGGTCAGGGGGCGTTATCTAGAAGGCCAACACAAAGATAGTACGACTGAGAATCAATGAGAGGGAGATTAGGAGTGATTACGGCACTGACATCGTACAAATTCAACCAAACACTAGTTTTGCAAGTATCTGATAATTATCGACCTCTTTGTATTCGCAACTTGTTTAACCTTTGTTAGCAGTTACATCTGTTGCTTGATTAAAAGATATAGTATGTACGACCATGGAATGTCGCACAATAAATTTAAATACAAGTGTAATCCAGACCCTGAAAGGGGTAGTGATGTTTAACTGTATTAAATGGACAATACTGGATATACACGATTTATAAAGTGGCATGGTTTGGTCTGGAGTCAAGGACAAGAAAACAAATACAAAATATTAATTGTGGTGCTATGTGAAAGGATAGCAATGAAGTGCTCCAATGAGAGAAATACGCTGCTTGCACACAGAGCAGGGTACATCACACAGACCATTAGTTTCAGTCATTTTGATTTTAGTATTAAAAAAAAAACCTAGTACAAGAAAACATTAATTGCATAAACCAAAGCTCATTATACAGCATCTCTGAAACGCACACAATACAATCCAATGTATATACACAATATTTTTTGGGAGGGGACTATGATAATGAGCTTGATAGTTACGATTAGGAACCCTCATCACCAATAACGACTTCTGATTTTAAAGGTGCTGTATTCACCCTGAGCATAAATTCTGTGTGGCCTTCATATTCTCCGTATTCCATATTTTTAGCACGGGCCCAGCATTCTACTCGAACAGTGGTGTCCATGGTCAGATTTTTAAAATGTACCGCCATTACAGGTTGCAGATAGTTGGTGCGATAGTCTGAATTCTCATCTGCGGTTCCAACATATGGGAAATATTTAAAGTCGATACCCCCTTGTGGATAGTAATCAATTTCTCCTATGTTGTCCTTGTCTCTGTCTTTCTGTAATGGCAAGAATAAGAGAACATTTTATAAGTGTGACATTCAACTATCCAAGATAAATCAATTAAACAAGCATAAAACAAGCAGTTGACTGAAATAATTGATTTTGATAAAAGGAGTGTGCATTTGCAAGAGCTCGCCATCAGTTGACCGGAGAAACCATGTCACCTAGCCAATTTAAACACGCTGGGCACCTTACAGCAAAGATAACGATCAGCAATTCTATTTGCATGAGAAAGCAGGCCATTTCACAGCGAGTTAGGGGTGACCAAATTAGCATATACAAATATGGGTAAAACCAAACGCTCACAAACAACCATGGTCAAGATTACATGCACACCACCAGGGAAAAATCTGTATTTTATTACCAACTTATCAAGTATTATTGTCTTTAACCTATGCAAAATATGATCTTGAACCCAGGTAACCCTTAACCAATGTAGCCTGAATACCATAAAAAAACATTTTCATGATGAAAACTGTCTCAACAAGTCATTGAAAATGACACAGTCCCCGTTAAATTAAGTTCTTTGTGCTCGTCATATTAAGGCGGAAAGGTTGTCGCGAGCGTGTCCTTGAAACTTGAGTTCCAAGTGACGTATACAACAGATTGTTTATTTACATCAAAACACGTGTTCCGTGTAGTGGTAATATGGCCAAAAATCTTTGATCTGATTATGAAACACACTGATATGTATGATGTATTTGCCAAATACAAATGAAAATGGTACATAAATTGTGGAAATATAGTAGTAAGGCAAAAAGTCATATGGCTGTCAATCGGCCATCCTTGACCAGATTTTGAAACAAATTGTCATGGACATGCATCCTAACATGTATAAAGTACATGTATGTGCCAAATTTGAATGAAAACTGACAGGGCACGTCCAAGATACCGCATAAAAATAACAACAAGATGCCTGCCAGTCAACCATCTTTGATCCAATTGCGAAATAAATCGTCATGGACATGTATCCTAACATGTATAATCTATGTACCAAGTTTGAATGACAACTGACAAAGCATGTCCAAAATACAACATTTTCAAAAAACAAGATGGATGGCTGCCAGTCGTCCATTTTAAATTGAATCGCTAAACCACTGCATGTGCATATGTCCTACATAAGGTACTAGGCACATGCAAAGAATGAAAGGAATCGGTCCACAAGATTCTGAAATATGACTCTGGACAGACTGACACAGGGACGGACTGACGGACACACGGACAGATAGACTCAGGAACTCACGGACGGTCGGGGACATATATCCTAACATGTATGATCTATGTACTAAATTTGAATGAAAACTGACAAAGCATGTCCAAAATACAACATTTTCAAAAACAAGATGGCTGCCAGTCAGCCATCTTTGATCCAATTGTGAAATAAATCATCATGGACATGTATCCTAATATGTATAATCTATGTACCAAGTTTGAATGACAACTGACAAAGCATGTCCAAAATAACAACATTTTCAAAAAAACAAGATGGCTGCCAGTCGGCCATTTTGAATCGAATATGTCCCACATAAAGTACTCGGCACATGCAAAGAATGAACGGAATCGATCCAAGGGATTCTGAGATATGACTCCGGACACACTCACGGACGGAGACCGAATTATAAGTCCCCGTTTTCAGACTTCGTCCGAACGGGGACTAACAAGGAGAAGTTGTGGGCTAGAAACACCTCAAACAGGTTCGTAGAGTGAAGAATATATGAACAAAAACATAACAGCGAAGCAAACCGAGAGAGAAACAGCTTTTGATCTTGTTTATTTTACACCATTCATAATTTGTGAGCAATTTATATTTTCGTACCATCTCCTCAGATTCATCACAAAAGGTTAAAAAACAGAATACATTTACCAACAAATATTTGTGATGCCTAAGCCAATTTCAATTTGCCCTGGATGTGTTAAATAAATATTAAAGTTTACAGTATTCAGTTGTAGTCATGACTAAAAAATGACTACCATATTTGTTCTATTAATAGTGCATGTGTTTGCATAAAATGATAGGTGCCATGGTAAAAATAAATCATTTTAATTATCCATGATACAATTAATGCAATTTATTTTATTAGAGATGCGTTACTAAAAGCAAATGTGGGAAACCTTATAAAAAAAGAAATCCCCCATTTTTTTTTTAATGAATCAAAATCTCATTGAGATTTGTATCTTTCAATATCACAAAATCCAGACATTGATAATTTTAACTTACTTTTCCTTTGCATTCTATCATCACTCTGTTGGGATCATAAATTGCTTGCAATTCTTCTGAAAGTGAACTGTTTTCATAAGCTTTTGGTTGCCAGCCCCATACCTGTAATTAAACCAGCAGAGGATATTATAGAACAATATACTGTAAAACACTTTGAAATAGCTACATACCATCTTAGCTAATTTAACTCAATGCATAAATTGACTGAATCTTAATTTAGCTAAAATGCCAATAATCTCATTGTGAGAATATACTCTATTATAATTAGTGACATCATAATTAATTGAAATTGCGGATTAGCTAAAGTAGCTAAAATAACATGCTAGCTAAAAGAACATGTTTTACAGTAGATAGGTTGGAAGGGTTGATTGAAGAAACTCCTTTATGTAGCTGATGCACAAACAAATTCACTATCAACATCATTGCTCTCCCAGGAGTTTTGGTCAGCATGTTCACCTTCATGACAAGCAGAACAGACTAAAAGGGCCATTTTGAAAATTGACTAATTTAAGTCCATTAAGTCACATTGCACACACATAATTGCATGGCCATGGATAACTTGTACAGCGGAAAAAAAATTATAATCAATTTGGAGACAATCTCATGACTTTAATATCTAGGGCAGACAAATTTGGTGTTCTACACTATGGAAAGCACCGTAAAAACTCACCTACTCTAAAAATTCTGCTACCTAGTTATCTGGCGAGAGTTCGTATTTTTGTTGACCCCAAAAATACGGACCTCTCCAGAAATTGCTCATTTATTTTTACTCCAAAAATGTGTCCAGCTTTGTTTTCCCCACATCATTTCTTCTTGGAATGAAGTTCAAACAAGGCCTGACAATTCTGTGCACAAGAGGTATATTTATCGATCACAGCATCACGCCTACTTAAACCTCAACTTGATTGCACAACTCTCTCCACTGCCCCGTTTTTGAAGTTTTGCAATTGTTGATTATTACTCGTATGTACAAAAACGTACGAAAAAATTGTTGAATTTTCATGAAATGCAAGGACACAACGTCAGCCAAATAAAATACTTCTGTCAAGTCAAAAGCCATTGAAAAAATTTATGCACAACCTTAATTACATCTAGTATGAGTC